GTAAATGAAATGGGAAGCTCTGTAAACAGTTGATTTTTTAAAAATCAACAACAAATATTAAATATTCACATATATTTAATGGAACTATTTACTTGTAATCTAGTTGATCTACCCAAATGCTTTAGCATGGTGAGTCTCCCCACGTCTATGTTTGTATTTATGGTTGACATTAAGTAAAACCAATGCCTTTAAAATAATTATCCCTATCTGTGTGATAAAGCTAGATTATACAGCTGGATCCTGTATCAAGGACATCACTTAACTTCATTTAGAACTATGGCCGACTCTGCCGTGCCCATTTCTCGATGCTATAAAATAACCATAAATCAGGAGAAATGACCGCACAACTTAAAGCTTCTGAAATGAGCTTTTGAGTATCATGCTTACAGGAATGTCAACCCATCTCAGTGTAAATCATCAACATGTCCTTAAACTTCCCTTGCATCAGTGAGATCCTCCTGCTTTATTGGTTGTAGGGTTCTTTATTCATTATTGTTCTCAGCCCTGTATTTAATGCTTATTTTAAGTTTTGGTACTGCATCATGCCTATGTGCAGTGTATTTTTTAAAATTATATTTGAGAAACCACTGAATTCACCGGCAACCACAGATAAAACAACACTGGTTCAGCCGCAGCACACCTCATCCATGTGTTTTATGCTGCTTCTTCAACAGCAGTACAACATCTCACAGACCTGGCCAAGAGAATGTCCGCCAGCCACATGCGGTACGTCCAAAGGGACAGTGGGCTGGGCTGGTGGGGAATACAGCTGTCCAAAGGGTACACTCAATTCCTTGGGCTCACCTGAAGGAGTTCTTTAGATGTCAACTTGTTTTTTATATACAGTGGTACCTCGGGTTAAGAACTTAATTTGTTCCGGAGGTCCGTTCTTAACCTGAAACTGTTCTTAACCTGAAGTACCACTTTAGCTAATGGGGCCTCCCGCTGCCACCGCCGCACAATTTCTGTTCTCATCTTGAAGCAAAGTTCTTAACCCAAGGTACTATTTCTGGGTTAGCAGAGTCTGTAACCTGAAGCGTCTGTAACCCAGGGTACAGTACGGTAATTCTAAGGCTATGGGTAGCTTAATCGTGACAGGTTGAGACATATATTTATTGTGACAGGCTAAAGCAGTTGGCACAGGGGTTGGGAGCTTTAATACTTTGTCCCAAAATGGCACCTACTGGAATTAACCCCTTTTGTGCCTGTTGCTCAAAATGGAAGAAAGGCTGTCATTGCCACCAATAGACGCTTACCTCCCATGACAAATAGCCAGTGCAGGGGTGATTCCAATTAGGAATGTGACAGACCAAAGAGTTTATGCCGCCATTTCACATGCCAGGCTCAGCCTGACTCCTCCCTTCCCCATACCAGATTTTTCCCCCCAGTAAAAAGACGGCCATAAAAAGCCAAATGACATGAACGATGTTATGCCTAGTTAGGCCTTTCTTGTGGTAAGAAGGTGAAGTAGAAGAAATGTGGGCTGAGTTCCTATTGAGATGCAGCACAGAGCACAGCTTCAAGCAAACTCTGTTTATCCCTCAGTCTGGTAGCTTGGCCATGATTTCCATTGGTGGGCAAATGTGCAGCTCCCCAGGGGAATATTCATGTACCTGTGTCCCCTAGAGGAATGCCCCAGAGTTAGGGGCATAAAACAGACAGGTAAAGCCATTTTCACCCTACGGGCTCAATTCATGCCAAATGCTTCCAGCATGTGGCCTCTTGTCATTGCTACTTGTTTCTTTTCCACTTGAATGTTGGATTATCTGAATGCCCTTTGGGTGATGCATATGAAACTGCAGGCTAGTACAGTAATTCAATACCCAAGAGATAGTACATGTTGATATTATATATTGTATAGTTAATAAACTACCGAGATGTTCCTAGAATTTGTGTTTAGCTACTGTTGCAAATAAAATAAGAGAGAAAGAGAGAGAAAACCTTCAGATGGTAATTGTTTTCTGTCAGTAGCTACCCAGGATAAATTTGAACCATTGACCTGGAGGTGAGAGTCTCCTTATCCCATTAGCTTTCTCCTGCTTTTTGTTATCACATGGCGTGTGTGACGGAGATATGTGTGGGCTTTCACTCTGGGAAAAGATTAAAATAAAAATTATGAAGTGTTCTCAAATGAGGCCTGTTATCATGCAGGCCAGTTTTATGTCTATAATAACCCAAAGTCAGTAGCTGTACTCATAGCTCTTATCAATTTGCCTACTTGGGCTCAAATGGAGGCCACAGTTCTAAATTTGAGTCCCATTTTGCACTCTTGGAAATGTTCAAATGACTGTGATTATAGAATGCAAAAGCACATTTCTGTTAATCTTGACGAAACAAAAGCATTCCTAGTTATCTCCCCGCCTATTAACAGTAACAGCTATCTAATGATATTTGCATGTGATAACTTTCAGTAAAAAGTGTCCTATTAGATGTCAGGAAGTTAAGTAAATTTGAGCATAATCGTGAGCATTTTACGCATTATAGTTCTCAGTCTCAATAATGAACCATTCAGCTTAAGAGTTTAATGCAATTATAGCTATTTTTTTTCTCTCTATAGAAACAACCCAGTGTTCTTTCCTGAACATGTTACACACTTGAAATGCAATGGTTTTTGAGGGGAAACTTGGGTGATTATTCTGGTAGTGTGCATTCCTCTGAAGATGTTGCTATAATTTGTATAAAGTTTTATTCCTGTCCCCAGATGTCGACAATCGGGATCTGCATAAATATATTATGTGTAAATCTCTCAGCAGCTGCTTTCCATTCAGGTTCCTCCAGATATTAGCCTGTCTTTGAGTTTATGACAAAGTTAAAAATTATTCATTAAACTGACCTGCAGTATATTCAGTAACTGGAAAATTGCCTTGCAGTTCTATTTGGTTTGTAGATGTGATCACGAGTAAATTTTTAACTTAATTAATTGGCCGTTTCTGTTGACAAGAAATTTATGTGGTAATAATTTGCTCGAAATAGATGCCGACTGTAGGAAATGAGATATCCATCATAGGCTTGTGTTCCACCAGCTGCACAGTGGCTATTATGAAAGTATTTCAGCTTGCAACGACCCCACTGTTTGTGCAGTCAGGATTATATATACCCACGATCCATTGCCTGCCTGAGAGGCGCTCATGGAGGTCTATGATAACAAAGACTTTGTGATTTATGGCTTGCTGTGAAAGCAGAGCTTGATGAGATTAAACAATTTCATAGCACAAGTGTTTCTTAAGACCTGATTTGTAGTTGCAAGCTGATGGTAAATCACATTTATATATCCGAAAGCATGCTCAGCAGAGAAGTGCAATTACAGTTTAAGACAGCTACTTTTTATTTAATTTTTATCCTGGTTTTGTCTCTTTTATAACCTCTTCGTCTGCTAACCATTCACCTTCACAAGTCCTTTCCCCTGGTTGGGAGGCCAAAAGACTGAATTCGCGGATGTTCCTCGAGCCTTATGTGCTCACTTATGGAAAGCACTGAGGCATTTCGAAGCAGCTTTTTACTGGATCCTACTGTCTTTGAACTGGCTTCAGCTGCATTTCTTGGCTCAGTTCTGTGTCAAATGTTGGTGGGGGGAGTCTTTCTCACTTTAAGCAATTGTGAATCAGGCAGCAACACTTCAGAATGCTAGCGATACAGAGCATGGGCAACTGGCATTTGTAGCACATCACACCACGCATTAGGAAGCCAAATGTTTTTAGATGGCATTTTTGGTATGGGTTAGAGAAATATTTTTAAATAGTCGTCTAGAACTGCTTTGGGATGGCAAAGAAATTGATATTAGTGATGATAAACTTGCTCACAATTCAAAGGAACTCCTGCCGAGCTGCTGAATTGTATGGAATATCACACACACACACACACACACACACACACACACACACACACAGTTGCCCAGGCAAAATTACATACAATCCTGTAAGGTCTGCCTTGGAGTTCCTTCTCAGAACCTTTATGCAACACACAAAGACATAAACACCCCTTTCATATGCTCAGCAGCAGGAAAAAATATTGGAGGGGCCAAAGTGCTTATCTGGGATGGGATTTCTGAGGGAAATAGTAACACTCTCACCTTAAATTTATTTTCTCTAAAGTAAAGCTTACTGGTTTTTGGTTTTTTGGTTTTTTTAGGGTATGTCTTTCAAGTAAACATGCTTTGGACTAAAGGCTTATTTTCATTTCCAGTTTTTGACTCAAGGTTATTATTACTATTATTACTATTTATTAATGTTCATGTGCATATGCATGCACCACATGAGAAGAACATTGATGCATTTATATCACATCATAATGGTGGGGCTGGGGTGGGGATCATGACAGGGAACACAGTATTTAATCAATGATGTTGACAATGCAGAGGTGGTGGTCGGAGACACAAAAAAATCTGAAGGAACTGAACAATGTAGCAAAGAATGGAAAGCATAACATGCTCCAGTTCCATAATTAATCTGAGAAATTCAGCTTGTTGTGCCAGAATTTAGGAAGAGCTGAACATAGGGAAGAGAAAGATTAAGAAAAAGTATAGAAAAATAGAACAGGAGATATCTGCTCACCCATCCTTTTAGATATTTCCTTGAAACTTACTGGATTAAATTTAATTGTGAAAACTAAAACCCTTTTCCTTAACTTCTGTATCCTTACAAGGGGGGGGGAACCAAACTTCCCCTTGTTTATAACTGCACATTTATGTTTTATGAACTGCACTTAAATCTGTGTTGATTGTTGTATGATAATATCTTGCCTTCTGCTAATATATTATTTGCTGGTTGCACTTATATAGTTTGTGATTGTTAAGGGAACTGGGGGGAAATAATGGAAGACAGGGAGAGCAAATGCTGTAAGGACCACACAAACTCACCTACTCCCTTGTTAGTAATATTTCAAAGAAGGAATGCTGCCAAACAAATATTTGAAGTAGGGAGTGACCGAGAGATAAATTACAGCTAGGTAGCCGTGTTGGTCTGCCGTAGTAGAAACAAAATAAAAAAATTCCTTCCAGTAGCACCTTAGAGACCAACTAAGATTGTTATTGGTATGAGCTTTCGTGTGCATGCACTGAAGAAGTGTTCATGCACACGAAAGCTCATACCAATAACAAACTTAGTTGGTCTCTAAGGTGCTACTGAAAGTAATTTTTTAATTTTGTTTCAAGAGATAAATTATTTGAGTTTTTCTACTTTTCCTTTAGTGATGCTGATAGTATTAATGAATCGAGGCATATTGGGTTATGTACTGTTCACATTTCCCTCCCAGCATTTGGATGAGGGGGCACTTTTGTGAATATTTTAGATGGCTTCAAATAGTACCTCCCCCTTTGGTAATCTTTAGGCAACTGCTTCAAAGGGAAGTGAAATCATACTGCCTATTCAGTAATCATTGTTCTCACTCAGAGTTGGTTTCATTTGCCTCATCACATAGACCAGAGCTTTCCAAACTGTGTGTCACAACACATTAGTGTGTTGGCTGCAGTGTGTAGGTGTGTCACACAAACACTCTCCACACTCCTCCCGGGGCTGGAAAGGGGTTAGTTTAACCTCCAGTTTACTAGTAAAGCTGAATTACTCAATTACTGGCCCTCTTTGAAAAAAGTTTGGACACCACTGATATAGATGTTAAAAAGCATGGGGGAGAGGACGGAAGCCTAAGGCACCCCACAAGTGAGAGCCCAGGGGTCAGAACACACATCCCCTTGCCCAATTTCTGAACACAGCCCAGGAGGAAGGAGTGGAACCACTGTATAACAGTGCCCCCAGCTCTCAGCCCCTCTAGCCGGTCCAGAAGGATGTTGTGGTCGATGGTATCAAGGGGCGTTGAGAGATCCAGCAGGACTAGGAAACAGCTTTCACCTTTGTCCCTAGCCCACCGGAGATCATCGACCAGTGCGACCAAGGCAGTTTCAGTCCCATGATGAGGCCTGAATCCCGATTGAATGACAATTTAATGTTTTACTTTTTTTCATAAAATTTACACACCACTTGTTTGTTTTAAAAAAAAACACTTCATAGCCGTTTACAAAAAAAAAAGTAACCGTAAAATCAGGGGGAAAAACTACAACTCTACATTAAAACATACAAAAGTTAAAACACACAAGGATATTAAAATTTCATGGCCACAAGGAGCTTGGACATGACCACAAGGAGCCTGGTTCCATGTACAGTGGTACCTCAGGTTAAGTACTTAATTCGTTCCGTAGGTCTGTTATTAACCTGAAACTGTTATTAACCTGAAGCACCACTTTAGCTAATGGGGCCTCCTGCTGCCGCTGCGCTGCCAGAGCACGATTTCTGTTCTCATCCTGAAGCAAAGTTCTTAACCTGAGGTAATATTTCTGGGTTAGCAGAGTCTGTAACCTGAAGCATATGTAACCTGAAGCGTATGTAACCTGAGGTACCACTGTATTCATTATCTCTCAGGTCTCATGTTAGCCAAGTGGCATGGGAACTGCAGCAGCAGCAGCTGACAAGGTGAGAGCCAAAACTGTGAGGGGGAAGAACTCCCACAGCTGAAACTGAGCTGCATTCTTTGGAGAACTGGCCACAGTTACAGCTCTTCTAGCCCCAAACTGGGGTGAAGGACATTCTGGCAGAGGGGTTAGAAATGGCAGGGGAAACTAAATGGGGAGCTTAGCCCAGCGCCGTCCTGTTTCCTCTGCTGCTTGTGAAATTGTGAACAATGAGAAGTTGCAGTGTACGCAAACAAGTGTTTTCCCTCAGGTTTCATCTTTGATCCAAGATTCAGGCTGGCTTGCAGCTGCTAGGCCCAGGAAGTTGTGAGGTAGGAGGATTCTGTGTGAATATAAATGATAGCAGCCAATGACTGTGTATATGTATCTGCAAAGTATATCTATATAATTGGGGAATTAAAGGCAGTTATGTTTAATTTGCTTTTAATTACATTCTTTACCCTACTTTAAGCAAATAAGCCTTTGGAAATTAAAGGCTGCTTCTCTTGGGTGACCTTGTAGGAATTTCTTAAGATAGATGCAAATGTAACAGGAGTGTTAAAACGCACCCAGCTACTTCTGAGAAAAAAAACATTAATGATACGACTCCAGAAGCAACTTTGGCGTTCACAAATCTTTTCTCTCTGAATTCTATCTAATGTGAAATATGTGATTACACGTCTCTTTGGACATGGATACTCCTCACCAGAGCAGCTCAGGCCATTTAACCTATTACTCCTTTTTCTGTCTGTTTACACCTGCACTGTGTTCAGTGTATAACTAAAAAAATATAAACAAGACTTCAGCAAACAGTTACACCATAGAGATGCACTCATCAGTGAAAAATTATTGGCTTCAGCTCCCAGGTGTGGATATTTTAAATAAAGCTTAGATTTGTGCGAATTGGCCCTTAGGCTATATACCTTAAGTGGTATAGAAATTAAATAATCACAATCATACCTGAGTGAATTGGCCCATGGTAGGTTAAACAATGGTTGTGTGCCCTCTTAGCTCTCACCTATGTGCTAAGGTGGGATAGGAAAGCTGGGGGGGGGGGTTCACATCTGGCAACCAGTGTGCCCAGGAGGCTTAATTTGGTCAGAATTGAGTGTACACTTTCCAGAGTTAATGCTAAATACATTACTTCTGGTAAATGAACTACCATAGCCGCTAGAGGGCCATGAAAAATGGTATCGCTTTTTAGACTCATCTATCCATGTACTGAGGGATGCGGGTGGCACTGTGGGTTAAACCACAGAGCCTAGGACTTGACGATCAGAAGGTCGGCAGTTCGAATCCCTGTGACGGGGTGGGCTCCCGTTGCCCGGTCCCTGCTCCTGCCAACCTAGCAGTTTGAAAGCACACCAGTGCAAGTAGATAAATAGGTACCGCTCTGGTGGGAAGGTAAAAGGCATTTCCGTGTGCTGCTCTGGTTCGTCAGAAGCGGCTTAGTCATGCTGGCCACATGACCTGGAAGCTGTACACCGGCTCCCTCAGCCAATAAAGCGACATGAGCACTGCAACCCCAGACTCGGTCACGACTGGACCTAATGGTCAGGGGCCCCTTTACCTTTTATCCATGTACTATCTGAAAACAAAGGGGTGCATTGGTTGGCAGATGTGAAATATATTGGCATTATTTTCAGTTCTACCCCACCACTTAGTTAATCAGCTACCTTTCCCCACAAATCCTGGTTGTATGTCCTACAAAGTGTGAGACTGCCATCCTCTGCACACATATCTAGAAGTAAGCATCATCACACACACTGGAACTTACTGAATGTCCAAAGACATTTTATTTGGCTCTCTTTTCAAATCAAATTGTTGCATCTAATATTTGTTAGCGGCTTAATGTGTTAATAACCTTACAGCTGTTGTTTTTCTTGCCTCTCTTGTTACTGGGTTGAAGTTTCATTTAGAAGGATCAGTTTGAATTGTTTAAAAAAACAAAAAAAACAAACCTAATTTTGCATATAGATCAATGTAAATTTATTAGCAATTATTTTTTAAAAAAATTACATTAGAATAAGAATCTGTTTCCAAGCAACTGAAACGTTTCTAAATATTTTAACATTTGTAACATTTGAATGGCATAATTATATTGCATTATGCTAGTGATGGGGAAGCCTCTAACACTGATTGGTTGAGTTGGTGTGATGACATAGCATGTTCATGAACATTCTGTCATCTCAGGGAACAAAGCTGTCAGCAACAAAAGAATCGAAGTCCAAATTCTGTAAGGAAAGACATTTGGGAATCAGGAATTGAGAAGGCTTGTTGATAACTAAGTACTGATCAACATATTATTCCAGGAGGTATGGATCAAGTCAGTTACTATGAGGCTCACATTCCTCATGTTTCCCTACTGGTCAGTGCCCCTCATGAACTGAATATGCCCATTACATGATGCCCAGGAATTCTCCACCATTTGCAGAGAACTTGATATGGAAATTGGTCTCTGGAGGAAGAAAACTGACTTAAGTGATTGATGTAAGTGACATCACATAATAATAATAATAATAATAATAATAATAATAATAATTTTTTATTTATATCCCACCCTCCCCAGCCAAGACCGGGCTCAGGGCGGCTAACAACCAATAATAAAAACAAGTTAATTAAAATACAATTTAGAAGATTAAGGTACAACATTAAAACATTAGGGTGCAATCTCTTCATAGGAGGAGAAAGGAAAAAGAAACTGATTCTAAGCCAAAGGCCAGGTGAAACAACACTGTCTTACAGGCCCTGCGGAAAGAAATTAGATCCTGCAGGGCCCTGGTCTCATGAGACAGAGCATTCCACCAGGCCAGAGCCAGTGTTGAGAAGGCCCTGGCTCTGGTTGAGGCTAATCTAACTTCCTTAGGGCCTGGGACCTCTAGGGTGTTGCTATATATGGACCTTAAGGTCCTCCGTGGGGCATACCAGGAGAGGTGGTCCCGTAGGTACGAGGATCCTAGGCCGTGAAGGGCTTTAAAGGTCAAAACCAGCACCTTAAATCTGACCCTGTACTCCACCGGGAGCCAATGCAGCTGGAAAAGCACTGGGTGAATATGCTCCCATGGCAGAGACCCTGTGAGGAGCCTCGCTGCAGCATTCTGCACCCGCTGGAGTTTCTGGGACATCTCCAAGGGCAGCCCTGCATAGAGCAAATTACAGTAGTCAAGCCTGTATATATATTGAGTGTGCTGTTTTGCAGAAAAGTGGCAGGTTGTGCAGTTTAAAAGTGAACATTAAATGCACATCCTTTTTATAGTTTCACCTTTGAACTACTGAAGGTAGATAAGTGTTTTCTTTGGACTTCTTTTGTTGATAGAGAATACTAATTTTTGCCTTTGGTTAAAATAGTGTGTTTAGTGATGATTAACACACACACCCCAAACTTCCAACCTGCAGAGTTATCTACATCTTTAATATTCAACCTCATGTGCCACCTTTCAGCTGGAGGCTTGCTGGCGTGAGCCATTAACCGCCTGTTGGATGTAACCTTGCCATGTCTTACACACAGCTGCACACGAGCCTCTGGTTTTGTACAAGAGGCTTTCAGCTCATACCATGCAAATAAAAAAGGCCGTTTAACTTGTGATCAGTGATCATATGATCCATTTACAGGGTGCAGGCTCAGTCAAGTAGAACTGGTAAATCATTAAAAAATGCTCTCAACACTCTTCCTGCT